CCCCCCCCCCCCCCCCCCCAGCTCAGTCTCATGTAGGTCAACAAGGGCAAACAACTTTTAAAGACAATTCAGTCCCTCTTCCTCCTCTTCTCTCTCTCTGTCGTCCCTCCTTTATATTGTCCCCTGTTTGTTTGCATCAGCATGGAGAATGAACAGGAGCCCCCCCCCTCCTACTACTCTCTCCCCATCCTGTACCCCGACAGACAGTCAGACAGACAGACGTCTTAGCACTACTCCAGTTCTGAAAGTGGCATGGTGGACTCTCTCTAGGTAGAATGATGATGATAATAATAATATTAATGAAAAATAAAAGATTTTTATTTAGATGAAGTCTGCCGGTGTCGAGAGTGAATTATTGTTTGTTGATTTTTTTGTTTTCTTCATAATAAGATATATTGATTCTTTGGACAACGACACAACATTTTCTTGATATCACAGAGTCTGCCTTGATACAATTTAGTTTCGATGTAATTCACGGGCCTTATCACGGGATAAGAAGTATCACATGCCCATTTGACACACTCGGTTACATTTATGTCAACTCACAAAAAGAATCTGAAATATGATTTGACGGTTTTATCACTGGGCTCTGTAGGAAGGAGGTGCGCCTGGACGGGACATAGACGTGCCATGGGAATTTCAAAATAAAGGCGTTTCTTAAAGATGATGCGTATTGATGTATTCACTTTGCAACGATGATATTGAATCGTTGATCATTGAATCGATTGCGATGTAATCGCTACACCCGTACGGACTTGAAGAAGTGTCATATGATGTCCAGACCGGTTTCTAACAAAAGCTGCGATTAAGTTGCATTATGGGAAACGTATGATCCGGTGTTTTTGGAGCTTGACCCATACTATAAATCGGGGGTGTCAATGTCTGCTGCTTCAGTTACAAGCCCTACAACTCTATGGAAGTACAATACTAAATAGTTTCCTCAATCTACTCTCAAAGCCCGATAACGACAAAGAGAAAACTAAACGGAACAAAGGATTTTTTAAATTCTTGCAAATTCATAAACTGTAATGTCATATTTGACATATGTGTTGCACTTAAAAATTACAGCTCGGTTATAACGTGATAATGGTGGCGTAATAGTTTGATTCTTTGAAAAGTAAAATATGCGCATCAACAGTATCAAATGCGTGTATTTGAAAGTAATAAAAAGAAATTAAATAGAAACGTTAGTTTAGCATTTTGCTAAAAGTTTTTCCAGGTTCCAAGTCGGCATTAAACATAAAATGTGTACAGTATTCTCTTGAAACGAAAGGGAATGTATGGAACATCAAGTCAGCATTATAATATGGAAAATACTTTGACTTCCAAGAATTTTACTGTGAGTCTTAAGATAGAAGATAGAAGCCTACGCTTTTGTGAATCTGTCAACCTACGTTACCTCATCATCATCAGGTTATTAACCCATTAATGTTACCATTTTTTAATCCAAATATTGAACTGATGTAACCGCTTTATTGTTAGCGGATTACCGTTTTGTTGCTAAAATATTACATGTTACTAAACGTCTTTGCCTGGTTGCTATCTTTAAATGTGTTTCCCCATCTTTCCCCTGTTAAATAAATGTCAGTATAATATTACCCAGATATACCCTCTGTCGGGTTGGACTCTTGTTGGTGCATTGAATTTCGTGTCGGAAGGTGGAAACATGCATTAGCATTAAACTAAATTATTATTAGAACTTGATTGAGTCAGTGCCAAAGTCTCTAAACTGTGACTACATTTCATCACATGACTGCCTGTTTATTTTATAATGTGGTACCTGTAGTGTGTAGGTTATAATTAACTACAATGTATAACGTAGTTGCCTTTTACAGGTCACCAAATAGTTGTGGTGTGTGTGTGTGTGTGTGTGTGTGTGTGTGTGTGTGTTTGTTTGGTTTTTGTGTGTGTGTGTGTTCAAAAAAAAAAAAAGTATCAAATTCCTCCTCGTATAGAAACCAGAGCTTCGGCTTCCTCTGTTCTACAACCTGACTCCTTGCTGACGTTCAGGTGTACACACACACACACACACACACACACACACTTGTATATAGAGAGAAGCACATATGCAGTATATGGATGCACATTGCATTCCCTTTTCATCATCTTGGCCATTCAGCAGCAGACTTGTCTGATCAGCAGTACGCTGTCTGGTCATAGGGCCCCTGGTCTCCGATCTTTCTGCCCACAACACACACACACACACAGCTCCCTGTTTTCTGTACAAGTAAAAGTAGTACATGTGAGCTGTAGTTTCCACAGTATTTAGCAGATTAATAGTTCTTGACAGTAAACAAAGCTGGTAACTTCTGGACCTCGTGGTCCTTTTTCAATCAGTTCCATCTGACCACCTTTCCTTTGGCTCTCGTGATACTTACTCACATGACCGCATGTACAGTATTGCAAACAGTGTTAACGAAAATGGCGTTTCATCTGCATTTCAATGACAAGAAGTCATTGAAAGTCCCAAAATTTTTGGTGATATTCCAATGGCAACACACAAGATAATGTCTGCATCCCTTCCAGATGATCATGCTTTGAGAACAACACCCCCGGCTGTGGAAGCACAAAAGGCCCAGGACCCCTGCCCACTAACCCCCTTGAAAATAATGTATCCACACAGCGCACCTGGACCTCATGGCATCCCTGGCAGAGCTCTCAGGGTGTGTAAATGTTTCAAGAAGACCACCTTTGCTCCTGTCCCCAAAGAGACTAAAGCCCTGTGCCCTGAACCTCTACCGCCCGGTAGCCCTCACCTCTACCGTCATGTATTGTCCCACCGATAAGGTGCATCCCCATCATGGTAGCAGCGTGGCCTCGGAGGCAGAGCCGGTGCCTGAACCAGGTCATGGAATGCCTCAGTGGACCTCCGGTTTTTGTGTAGTTTGTCTGGAGCATCTGAGACACTTTATTTCCAAGGAAAACCCTGAATTGTGTCATTATTGCCTTCAGCCTTGCGCTTTATTGCGAGCTTCTGTTTGTAATCTTGACTTCAGTATTAGTTGGGGCAGTCAAGTCTTTGTGGACAACATAGTCAGTTGATTCCCAACACACAGACAGACACAACTGTTCATGCCCGGTGCACTCTTGAGTTTCATCCACGATAATTGCATTCACTTTTTTAGAAAGTGGTGAGAGACTCCCGAAACGTCTCATGTGTAAGTTCATTGATTGTCTCCTGTAATTCATATTTCCAGGTAAGCATTAATCTTTCCAGAGTGGGGTTTTTCCTTTCAGGAAATAGTTCTCCTTATCTCTATGCCCCCAAATTGCGAGCCCCTGTCGGGTTGCAGTCGGTGCAGTTGGTCCATCATTCCATCCCCTCTTTTCTCGTACTCAATGCACTCTTGTTTGACAAGCCAAGTTCTGACTGGGTTTTCGACTGCAGTAAGTGCAATTTCTTTCGGACACATGCTTTGTGGCAGGTTTTCCAGTTATTATTTCTGGACTTTTCAGAGCTGTCATTTCCTCATTTGGAGAAAGGTACCAGCTGTTTGACAGCAGCAAATCATAGCTCGAGGTCCACACACTTTAACTCCCATAAAGGGGGCAGGATACGAGATTGGGGGCATGATCTATTGCCTCTCTACGGCTCTCAACATGGCAACGGCAGAGCTGGCAGCTCACAGCTAACAATGCTAACAGGGCTAACAGTAAAAACTATACGGCAAACGTGCTGACAGAGCTAACCCTTATGACCCTTATGTTCTCCTGCGTCTCCGTGAGTTTTCTCTGGGTGCTCTGGGTCTCCTCCCTCAGTCCGAAGACATGCAAGTTACCCTAAAAGATACGGATCTGTGGCGCAATCTCCAAAAATATTCAGTAAAGGTTTGGTCTAAAGGCAACATTTAAAAGACCCTAAAAGTATGTTAGTAGTACAAGTAATGGCCTCCTACACAAACACACCTTTTCATTTCAGAACAGTCTTGGTTATTTCAGGAGAGATCATTAGTGTGGCTGTCGGTGCCCTTGTCACTGGTTTGAAGGGGGCGGGGCTCAGGTTTTAGCAGCATTTCAATCTGAATCTGATGATGATGTTGGTTTGTTTGGCTACTATTTTTGAGAGTTGTACTCTTTAAGGGATTATACCTACAGATGTTTGTTTTTTTAACCTTTGTTTTTGCTTCGTTATTCATGAATATTCAATACAAGATTTGAGTGCCCAGTCACAATTGTTTTATCAATGATTTCTTAAAACTTTATTGCTCATTTAAGAAGGAAATTCACAAGAACAACACTGCATGCAAAGAACAGAAGGAACAGCTGTAATTTCATGAATTGAGACATTCATTTAGTTAAGTATCTAATAGCTTGTTAATAGCTTTTCAGTATGTTAATTTGTGTGACTTTCTTCATTAAGCAAACAAATATATTTATCAAGCAGATGAAAAATATTCTTGGTTTTATCAATAAATTACATTAACATACAACAAACTACCTGCGTTAAAAAACTAATTATTGTGGAGAGGAGGAGGATAAGAGGAGCAGGCAGCTCAACAACATTTAAATCCTTAAATCTTTCGAGAGGATCTGAGGAGAAAATAGTGTCAGTCCTTGATTTGGAGACAGGAAGGGACCAAAAAATGAAATATAAAGAATGACAGGAGTAAATCAAAGTTCCACTCTGGTGAACAGCCACACAAAACACCACCCAGGGCCCACTTTAAAAATGGTAGTTTAAGTCATTTTTGGAGTTAAAAAAATCTTGAGAGAGAGACAGATCACGCCATCCGCTCCTGTCGGGCCGCAAGTCAGGTGAACATCGTCCTCCAACATCCTCGGACACATGGCTATCTGTCCAAATTGGAATAATATGAGTGAACTTTTCCATTGGAGGACTGATGAACTCACATGTGATAGTTGTAACATGGGTGGGTAGTAGT